GGACTACAATCCCTTAAAATGTCAGCTCATTTGGACGTATAGTTCCAGAAATAAAAGCGTGTTAAGCAATTTGGGGTGAATTATCAATTTTTCAACTTTTCTGAGTGCCTTTTTTCATAGAATCCGACTCCAAATCTCAGAATAATTCAGTTTATGGAGTTTGGGGGGTCCCAAAGGACCATTAGAACACAAAATCTCAACAAAAAAAAGTTTGAAATTTCATCGTTTTATTTTAGTACTGAGGTAGCCACCTTATGATTTAGATTTTGGAAAACTTTCAGACGTCATAACTTTTTTTCTATTATGAATAGAAAGCTGAAATTTTCATCGGTTCTCAGGTAAAATTACAGATATAGATAGAGAGCTCTTTAAATGAACCCCAAAATTCTAATCCTAGACGTAGGAGGGAAAGAATTAAACAACTTTCAATCCTCTGGTGTTACACAGTGATAAGATGATAATTATATTTTTCAATAATGTGTTATCACTTGTAAAAATTCCTAAAATATAATCAGGCGAGTTGAAAACGTCAGGGATGATCAACATCAGCAGCAAACCAGTAGCCAGTAGGAGATAGCTATATCAAGTCAAGGAAGAAATCATTTCATTGTTAGTAAATAAAACTTGGTCAATAGGAAAAAAGGAAAACCCAAATAATAAAAATATTGTTGAATGCAAATGGGTTTTTCCTATTTGAAATGATGAGAACCGGCATCCCAATATTCCCAATTTGGTGCCGGCTGATGACTATCATCCACCATTGACATTCCAGATTCGGGGCAGTGCAAATTATTGTAATGCGCGTCCAGTTTTTAGTTAAAGATTTGACTTGATTTGACTATAAAAGTTCTATAACGAAACTTTTGCCCCAGTTGCTAAAATAGTAACATTCAGATTTTTGATTGCGCTTTCAAATGATTTTGTTTTATTGCTTTTCTCATTAGTGATGCGACGAGACGAGACAAAAATACGCTCTCTTTCGTCTTGTCTCGAAGGTTCGGAAAAATGAATCTCTCTTCACGACGAGAGACCCTCGATACGAGATGAGAAATCTATGCATGCTGATGTCGTCTCGTCTCTCGTCAGTTTTGGCGCATGGTAGGTTAATTTCAACTTCGAGGGCAAGAAAATGCAAAAATTTATTCTCATTCCTTAAGTGAAATGTATAAAAATGTAATAATTATCTGCCCAAGGTCTTGGAAAATATTGGACATTTACGCACTTTTTTTTTTAACAAAAGTACGTGTATTGTTCGTCGATTGTTAACTGACACTTTCCGTATGAGGAGCGAGGGGGTGTTTCATATGGCAAAAATAGGTGTGATTTCAGTTGATGACAGGTGACTATTGGCGTTCTTATGTAGGGAGGGACCAGCTCACATTCCGTCCGAGTATCAGATGAAAATCGACGGACAATACCTACCTATTTACATAAGATTGAATTCATACCAGGGCCGTAGCTAGAGTCAAATTTAAGATAGGGCATGATAAATTTGACATAGGGCATACTCTACTTGCCCCCCGCCACCTTAAATTTTTTTTATAGGTGAACAAAATGGGGTTAATGGCGCCGAAGGCAAATTTTTCAATAAATCAAGGTTCAGGTCGTATGGTATAATGGGCAAGAATCGTAAACTTTACAGGATTGCTCAATCGGCTAAATTTGTTCACAAGTGCTATGACGTCACGTGCATACCTGACTTTCAAGATGGCCGCCGATACAAATGATAGTTGAGTTTGCGCTGAGAATTATTTTATCGTAAATTCGAAGTTTATCAAATGTTATAAGTGTAATTTAAAGTTTCATTTGATGTGTGTAAGCATAAAAGACTCATGGCAGGAAATAATCGCGGAAACCCCAAACATTTTCTGGTTTTAGTGGTTTTGTAATACTGGATTTGTTGCATCAGAACATAGCTTTCTTTAATTCGTGTGTATTGTTTAGTTTTCTACTGCTAGTATTTCCTAGTCAAGTAATTATTTGTATTGTTTTTTTTTTTTGTAAATCAAATAACTAGGTACTTAGTTGTAAGTTTCCTTTGCATGTAATTACTTATTCTTACTAGAAATTAGTGTTTGTGAAGAGTAAATAAATGAATAAATATGTAAATAAATTCCTTTACTGGCGCGTTTACTATGGAAAACTTGCAGTGTTTAGTGTTTTTCTGGATTCTGATTATGAAAATATAAATTAGGTATCACTATTTGGCTTTGTGAGATAAGCTTTGAATGTCCATAAAAAATGTATCTGCATTCAGTTTGTCCTTTCTTTTACAAAAAACTATCCACTCGTTTTGAATAGTTTTAGATACAAAGATCTTTTCCTTTAAGAAAGCGATGAAATTTACATTTTTGAATGCTTGCTTTTTGATCAAAATAGTTGTTATAACACCCATACACAGCACATCTCATTCCAGGCATAATCTATTTTATTAATGTACCTTCTTGCTTCTTGTTGCCGTTGCCCCTAAAAAAAGGTAAAAAATGCATGCACATTTTGATATAATATTTATGTGAGTGTGAGTATTTTGAAATTACCCTGCTGATAAGCAGAGAACAAACAAACTCGTCTTCGTAATTAGCTAACGACTCAAGCATACAAACTTTTGAAGTCTGTTAAATTTAAAAAACACAGTTTTCAAAGAAAATAAACTCAAAAATAACAATTTTTCACGTTTGAGAATGCACACTGTCATAATAAAAAACAAACCGATCAAGGACTGCGTGACGTCACTTGCATTCCTCCATGTTCAATATTTTTATGAACGTATGTCTTATGGGATTGAGCAATCCTGTAGAGTTTACGATTCTTGGGTAATGGGTAACTTGCGATGACGTCTCTGATCTGGGATACCTTATAGAGATTTGCATTATGTTGAGGCATCCCAGATGACGTCATAAAGTTGCCAGGGCTGGGACTCTGTAACGTATAGAGATCGTAATCCCTATCGCTATGGCACTTGCTGTCTTCTTCTCTCTTCTCGAAATCAATAGAGAGGGGTCCTCAATAGGGATAGAGAAAATATATCTATTCGTTACAGAGTTCCAGCCCAGGCATCCTACCTCTCTCGCCTTTATCAAACAACCTTGCAATAAATAACATCTCTGGCAAGTAAACAAAATGGCGCGTATTTCCGCGCCAGCCGCCTGGGCCATTCGCACTCTTTCAAATCAAAAAAAAACTTCCACTGTGCAAACGTCAAACATTGTTCATTAGATTTAGGCATTTTCGGAAACATTCATCCTCGCTTAATCGATTTCAGACCTATCTACTTTAGGCATCATCTCATCTACTCTTAAATTTTTTAAAGAAACCTTAATGTATGTTGTTTTTCAAAGGTAGGGCATCATATCCTTTAAAAGATAGGGCATTGCCCCCCAATGCCCCCCCTGGCTACGGCCCTGATTCATACTAACATGGAAAGGTTGACGTGGTAGACCCACTGATCCGACCGGAAGAGGAAAATACCAGTGGCGTACACTGTACACTCGATCGACCTATGAATCAGGGTTGCCAGATTTCAATTTTGAAAAAGCGGGACAGCGGATAGAAAAAAATGTCGTCAAAAAAAGAAAACAATATATAGGTACACCTCCCATGGGGAAAAGCCCCCCCATAGTGATTTTGGCATTGTATGTAGTGGGTAGGTATAAAAATATTTTTTTAGAGTATAGTATAGTAAATTTTAGGGGCCTTTTAATACAAAAAGCTTGGATGACAGATACCCATTACCCAACATAACGGATCTCTTGAACAAGCTGGGACGCTGCCAGTATTTCACCACCTTATAGATTTAGCTAGCGGCTTCCACCAGATTCAGATGCATTCAGATCAAAAAAACCGCATTCAGCACAGAAAACAGGCATTATGAATTCTTGCGCATGCCCTTTGGTTTGAAGAACGCGCCGGCTATATTCCAAAGAGTTATGGATGATATTCTATATCTCAATATATTGAGCAACTTTAACACCGAAAGATATAACATCCTATTAATAATAGTTATTTATTATACATAAAATAAAACATTCTTTATTTAGTAATTTTAATATTCAAAAGCATTCTCTCGTCTCCTCTCGAAGTGACTTTTCGAAATGAGAATATCTCTTCGAAACGACAGACGAGAATCTCTCCCTAGTAAATAATAGGAAGGTTCGACATTTTTTTATTTCAACTGAAATCGAGAGATTTTGCTGTTAAAAAACGATTAAAAAAAATTTGGACGCAAAATATTAGGCCTGTTCGCACAACAATCACAAACCAGTCAGACCGAATTTCATTGGTTGAAAACAATCAGAAACAGTCAGAAAACTAGTTTCAACCAATAAGATTCACTCTGACTGGTTTGTGATTTCTCTGCGAACAGACCTATTAATGTTCGCGTTTGTTGCGAGCAGTTCAAAATCAACGATCGGTTCAGAATAAAAAACGTACTTGTACGCGAGACTAGGCCGCGTGACGTGTGACGTCAGTAGCCAGACACGCCATGTGAATTCGTATACTTTCCGTATAGGCCTTTACGGAAACGCTGATCCGATCACAAGCTGTTTGCTTTTCATCTTACTCCAATGAAAACGATTGAAAAAAGACACTACATCGGGTGGTGATTGGGTTAATTGGATCCGCGTTTGCGTAAAAGTCTATACGGAGAGTATACAAATTCACGTGGCGTATCTGGCTACTGACGTCACACAGCCTAGTCTCGCGTGAGATACATAAATAAAAGAATAACAAAAAATGTCGAACCTTCCTATTTATATCGAAAGGTATAAAATTTTATGTTGAAGACTTTGTCTACAAATGATTTGATGAGATCAAAATCAAGACTGCAAGCAAAATAATTATTAAAATATTCATGAGAGGAGAGCACGTCATATGCCAAAGAAAATTGCCGGCCGCCACGCCATATTGGATTTTTCGTTTTGACAGATGGATTGAAATGCCTAAATTTTTTGAGGTTATAATATTTATGTTTTGTTGATGTGTCTTGTTTTTTGTATAAGTACCGCCAGTCCATTTTGCAACTACAGAAAAATACTAAAAATAGGCCGGTTTTTTAAATTAATGTAGTGCTACAGCCTCAATATAATGAATTATCAAAAGGCTCTTGTGCTAGTTGTATTGGTAAATATATTTTTTAGTACTTATTAAAGGCCTTTCTTGTCTGCAAAGTCGAATAATATTCAGTAGGTGTCCATTTAACTCCCACGTTTCAAGGCTTTTTTTAATTAACATGTTTTCAGAAATATAGTTACCATGCATTGATAATTAAAATAAAATCTTAATAATTCCATGCCTTTGCTCAGTTAACTCACAAATATATGCTCATACAGAGCTAAGCTAAGTACTCAGCAAATGTACTTGAAGTTATCAAAAGTATTAAGTACTCAACATTTCAAATATACTATATAATTACAGTATCAAGTACCTACAATATTTTTTGAATGTACTTAAAAGTATCACCTAAATATTTTACTTAGGGCCGGTATTTCAATGTCACCTTAAGGTACAGAATAACGTTAAGTCATCCTTAATACAAGTTTCACCAAATATCAAAGTTCCCTTAATTCAAAGTGGATCTCAAGGCACCTGAATGAACTGATTTCAAGGTAAGTCTTGATTTTAAGGTAACATTGAAATACCAGCCCTTAGTAAAGTAAAAAAAGACAGTATAGGTAGCAACACATATTATTTTCAGTATGCAGTAATTAGAGTTTGTTGCATACTCAAGATATTTTTACCTATGTACTTACTTAAGTACTTATAAATTCACTTTGCCGCTTTTTCAGAAGTAATGTGATACATACTGCATGGTAGGTACTTAAAATAACATGGCAAATTTAAGTACCAGTACTGAGTACAAGTACTTACCTGCTTCTTTAAAATTGTATCTGTTGATTGATTTTTTCACAAGTAGTCTCCTTATAAAAGTACCTACTTGAGTAAAGTACTTGAAGTATCAAATGTACTTAATACTGAATATTTCACTTAAGGTATATTTTTCTAATCAGTACCTCATCATAAATAAAATGTTGATACTATGCCAGTAGCGATTGAACTTAAAAATCTATATTTCAGCTTTTTCCAATAATACAAATTCGATTTGTCCATTCTAGTTTATTTGTCTGGCTTCGCACGCTCACACCGCCAAACAAAATAGCAAAAACTTAGTTGTAGACAATCTCGCAGACGCCAAAGATCTCAAAAAATTGCTGAGAACCAAAACAAACGTCTTGGCATGTTTCTACAATTCATACAAAAAAGCTCAAACTATTTTAAGTGTGCTCAACGATGTAGCTAGAAATGTTAAAGGTGAAGGAGTTATTGCTATTATAAATTGTTCTGGGTAAGATTTTAGTAGGCATTCATTATAAGTTGTTATATTGTTTTTGTATTAGAGAGGCTAAAAAACTTTGTAAAAAAGTTAAAATTCCTAACAATGAACCGTTTTTGCTCAAACACTACAAAGATGGAGAGTTTAATAAAGACTATGATAGAAAGTACAATGAAAAATCAATTACTAATTTTATGAAAGATCCTACTGGAGATTTGCCTTGGGAAGAAGATGATTCTGCTAGAGATGTAGTCCATATACCAGATCCGAGTGTAAGTATCTCAAAACACCTTTATTATTAAATATAATTTGACATTAATCTATCATTTTGGCAGCAAATATTTATCATCCAAAAATAAACAAGAAATTTCAGTAAAAAAAAAATCATCAATCACAACATCTTATGAATTTTCCCATACAATATAATGAAGCATTTTTTCAAATGCTGCTTGCAGACTTTGGTCAAGTTTTTAAGGAAAGAAGGCAAACCCATTTTAATAATGTTCTATGCTCCTTGGTGCGGATATTGCAAGACCTTAAAACCAGAGTACTCTTCGGCCGCTACAGATCTAAAAGATCATTCGGTTTTGGCAGCAGTAGATGTTAATAGACCCGAAAATGCTGTACTACGCTCTCAATATAATATCAGCGGATTCCCTACATTATTATATTTCATGTAAGTAGGCACCTATTTTTTGCTCCATATATTTTCAAGTTTCTTTAAGAAATGGTTCATTAAAATACACCTATGAAGGTGACAACAAGCGAGCCTCTCTGGTTCAATTTATGCACGACCCAGTGGCACCTCAAGTAAAAGTTAAGGAACCCGATTGGTCAGAGTCTAATAGTGATGTGGTGCATCTTATATCATCGAATTTTGATACTGTTTTGAAAGAATCTGCTTCAGTATTGGTCATGTTTTATGCTCCATGTAAGCAACTCTGTAACAGTGAAATTCCATTTTATTTACTGAATAATTTACAGGGTGTGGTCATTGTAAAAGAATGAAGCCTGAGTATGAAACTGCAGCTGCACAAATGAAGGATGAAGGAGTAAGTAAAATAATGTTGATTTTATTAAATTTATTACTTAGTTACTGAAGTAGGCATATAAATTTTTAAACTGCTTACTATAGGAAATGAAACATTATCCTCTTTTTTTCTAGATTGGAGGTGTCTTAGCTGCAGTAGATGCCACCAAAGAACCATCCATAGCCACTAGATATAATGTAAAAGGTTATCCAACTGTGATATACTTTGCCTACGGCGAGCAAATGTACAATGCCAACGTACGAGAAGCGTCAAAAATAGTTGACTTTATGAAGTAAGTTGAATTTGTTTTGGACGTTTTTTTTGCTCAATATTAGTAAATTTAGGGATCCCAAAGAACCTCCACCGCCTCCACCACCAGAAAAGCCATGGAGCGAAGAATCTAGTGATGTAATTCATTTAACCGAAGACAACTTTAAGCCTGTTTTAAAAAAGAAAAAGCACGTTCTGGTTATGTTCTATGCCCCTTGTGAGTATTGTACTTTTTTACTTGAAAAAGTTGAGAATTCTTTTTCAGGGTGCGGGCATTGTAAGAAATCGAAACCAGAATTCACAGAAGCTGCAGCAGAGTTCAAGGAAAACTCAAGAGTGGAATTTGGTGCAGTGGACTGTACCATAGAGACGTCAGTTTGTAGTGCTTTCGAGGTCAAAGGATATCCTACTTTCAAGTATTTCAGTTACTATAATAAGGAAATATTGCCATATAATGGAGGACGAACTGTAAGTAACACACATTGAAACAAACAATTATTTGATTTGTATTTGAAATTTTATAGAAAGAAGACTTTATTCAATACATGTCCAACCCAATTCAACCAATTCCTGTCTCTAATCCAGCACCTGTTGAACAATGGACTAGCGATCCAGCCATTATAAAATTAAACGACAGCAACTTTAAGACAGAACTCCAGCAAAACCAATTTGTTTTAGTAATGTTTTATGCTCCATGTAAGCATCTTGCCTATAATATTAATAAAACATTAATAAATCCTTTTAGGGTGTGGTCATTGTAATAAAATGAAGCCAGAGTATGTTACGGCCGCTCAGCAATTGGAAGCGGAGGGCCTGAAAAAATGTCTGGCCGTGATTGATTGCACTGAAAACCCGCAAACAATGCAAACATACGAGATTCAAGGTTTTCCCACTATTAAACTGTTTAAAAATGGCAAATTTATTACAGAATATACAGGCAAAAGGACCACGGAAGCCATTAAAACGTTTATCAAACAATATCATGGACCTAAAGATGAATTATAGGAGAAAAATTGACCAATGATGGAACAAGTGTCAATATGCTGTAGGCAAAATACAATATGTGAACTTTGAATAATTTACTAATTTTTATTAACTTTTTTTTATCAGTATTGTAAATAGTACACAAAAATCTGCATAAATTCCTCTGAATAGTATTTATTTATATTTAAACATTATTTTGTGCTGCAATAGAAGGTTGTGATTATTTTAAATCAGGTATATGATACTCAATATTTTTTTGTTGTGCCTTTTTGTTTTAGAACAGTACTTAAGTTTTTGTTTAGGGAATTGAGTTCTCTATGCCAGATTTATTCTGTGAAGTACCTATTCAAGTAAGATAGATAATCCTCATTTTGTATATTTTGCTCGTGTCTACTTTGAACTTAGTCAATAACCTAGGAAATTATTAATTAAATGGACATAATCATTATTAATGGACCCAATTTAATAATATCTTTTTACAGGCTGTAATTTTTTTTAAAATAATAAATGTAAGTTCTATTGAATATTAAGATTATGTTATTAAGCTAAGGAATTGGTGCAAGGATGTTCCAAAACTCTAGTAACACCTCTACTCAGTGGTGTCAGGAACTGGCATTCGAGTGTACTCCACTGGTATTTTCCTGCTGAACGAATGAATCAGACGGATAAAATGTAAAATAAAACAAAGATACATTTAAAAAGAAGTGCATTTGAATATATTTTGAATGTGTACGCAACATTGTTAATAAATAATAACTTAAACATAGAAAAACTATCACGAAAACTAAAGACTATATCACTAATGAAACATGGCTATGACTCAAAATATTTAAGCCTATATGGCCTGCTCTTATTATTATACCACTGAAATTGATAAGGAAACAGTAGATATAGATTATTTGAAAGAAAAATAACGCTTCGTGACCTCATGGAGGTGAAAATTAACACTGTTACCAAGCCCATTTGAAACTAAATAATATTCAAACAATAGTGTAATAGGTGTTATTTTCAGTTGGTATTATTTCGGTGCAAACAAAACGATTCAAAGTACATACTCCAGTATATTATGTATAAACAACTGTACAAAAAAAAAATATCTTACATTAATTGAAGTTGCTACTTAAATTGATTCATCATTATGAAAAAGTAACATTGATATTTGTGGAGAATGAATATGTTATAAACATATAAATTTTTGCAAGTTAAGTAGCAAACCATATTATTGGCGGTTATAGTTTTGAGTTAAAAAATATCTCTGTTACAATACAGTCAAAAATAATTATTCATAAAGAGATACAATACCATTATACTAATATCGTTTCGAGTATAACATGGACAAGAATAAACTGATAAAGCTTTTATATATAAAAAAAAAGATTACATCAAAAGCCTGACAAACACTTAATTGCTATTTGAATTAAAAAAGTAAAAACTGAAGCAGCATCTTTGTAAATGAGATTTTGTAAAAAAATAGAATCTCAACGCTTTAACCGCTAAAACTAAACAACCAATAAACCTAATTTTGGGTTTTCAAGCTGTTGCAACTCTGCGAATCTTTGATTACAGGAGCGGAATCCCTCCTCACAGGGTCATCTCTGAGGATGTTGCTTTTTTCAGGATTCCTCAAAGGTACACTATCTCTTCTGTAAACGTTATTTATGTGAGAAATGAAGGTGGACTGGTTTGAGGCGGCCGAGGTGAGATTCGGTTTATTGGCGACCTGCGAAAAGAATTAGTTTGATGCAAAATGTTTGTTATATACAGAGCCATGAGTCTCTACAAATGGATATGTTGTTGTTAATACTGCATGCTTTCAGGAAGAGTTTAGACTAGTCAGGATTATGTTGATTTATGTATGCATCTAAAATCGGCCTGACCTGACCCAATATAAATATTAGTAAGACATAGAAAAGAGGAAGGAAAATACCCTCAGATACTGTCAAATACCGTCTATGTTCGCCTGTATTACATATTAATACTTTTACATAAAGAAAACTGACCATAACCAACATGAACAAATAGACCAAATTAACATAAATTAAGCACATATAAAGCACCTGCTATTTTGTTTTCTAGCCTGATAATAATCGATAAACAATAAGCTTTATTTTTTTGGTGATCAATATTACCTCTCGTTTGACATTAAAAATATGTGCCTAGTATTTATGCCCTGTTCTTGGTTTGTTCTAGAAAATATTAAAAAGAGAAATGAATTAGATAAATAATATAATAAATTTGGAAGAAAAACCTAATTTTCTGAAAACCAAAATACATATATTATTATTATTATTATTATGTACCTCTTTAATGGAACTTAGTGCTTTGCTCATCCACGGAGGCCAGCTATTTTTAGACAGTTCTTGTTCAATGGAACGCAGCTGATGTGTAAGATTCTATAAAAGAAAAATACATGAAACCATCCACTCACTAACAAGAATGTCAGCTCACTTGATTTCGACATTCCGCCTCGACATGAGCCAATTTGGTCTGTGCCAATTCCAGCTCTAACTCTCTTATCCTCTCTTCTCCTGTAGTTTGATCTCCGGAGCCTATGTGTTTATTTGCGCTGTTGTTTTCAGCAAATTTGAAACATTCTGGACAATCTGTTATTTTATCCTGAAAGGTATGTTTCAAAGAATATTTATTACATATTTTTCAAATGTAACTCACTTTTAGACTCTCCAATTCCTGTCTAGCAAGACTCAATTGCATGTCCAGGCGTTGCCTGACCATTTTGTAGTCATTTACGATTTGACTATTATTTTTCTGTTCTCGTTCTGCTTCATCCACCTAAAAAAATAACTATAGATTTTTTTTTTTAAATATCAACTTTTCATACCTCTCGTTTCAACATCTCTTTCAATTGACTGATCTCCTCGGACATCAGCTTCTTTTCCTCTTCGAGTCTCTGCAGGGTCATTCTGAGTTTCTCCACTTCGCTGGCCTCCTTCTCTCTGCGATCTTGGGCCTCTGAATCCGAAGAAATTATTTCCCAATCGTCTAGGGTTTATTACAAAAAAAAAAAGTTTTCGGCCTGGTGACCAACAGTTTTGGCAGGCGTTAGTAAGTAAAAAAACTGGTTAAAAACTCATAAGAAAATAACATGAAAAAGAAGGAGTTTCCGTTGTCTTTGAAGCCTCCCCCAATATGAATGTTACTTGTTTTATCTGCCAGCTCATTGAGTAGATATTCATATGAAAACAAAGTGAAAACGTCTATATGATACAAACGTTTTGAATCATTGAGAGAGGCTTTATATTAACTTGACAACCCATTGTGAGTGTTGTAGTTCTGATGAAGTCATAGGCGCAACTAGGGGGGTACTTGGGGGTGCTAAGCACCCCTAAAGCAAAAATTAGCACTCCCATCCGGCATCCCACCATAGCACTACCTACAGTGGCACTACCTAACACTAATATAAAAAGTTAGTGCAACCAAATTATTTATTTTTTTTTTGCACTTTTTGTACTTACTTCTTTTGTCATTGATGACGTCATAATTTAGGAAAAAGTATTTGTCGTTGATTAATTCATAGAGGACATTCGCAATTATTATTGTTATGGAATAAAAATTTTCAACCAGGGCCGGTATTACAATATTACCTTAAAATCAAGACTTATCCTAAAATATACGGTTTTTATGTTCCATTTAGGATGACGTCATCGAACAAGGTCAGATAATGTTGTCAATGTCTATGTTTAGTCTATATCTTAAGGTGACAATAACTGGGTTCGGTAATTGCATCTGCGAGCGAATTTTGACAGACGTCACGTGATCACTTATCTCTTATTACGTGTCAAATCACGTGAGCAGAGGGAAAATTTTGGTAAAAATTTCCAAGAAAAAGAGGAAGGTGAGGAGCTCATTATAGAGAAATTCCGAAATTTTCCAGTAAGAAATCACTAAAATTAAGGAAAATTCATCCTCTCATATTTCATTTTTTTTTCTGGAAAACTGGCAAAAGAGGAAAAAGAGGAAAGTCAGGAGCTCATTATAAGAAAATTTCAAAATTTTCCAATGGAAAATCTCTCCAGGAAAAATTCAAAGAAAATTGACTTATTAAGGCAAAATTAAGAAAAATTCACCTCTTACATTTTCATTTTTTTCTGGAAAACTGGCAACGGGAAAATTTTGAAATTTTTACAGGAGAAAGAGGAAAGTGAGGAGCTCATTAGAGGAAAATTTCAAAATTTTCCAGTAAAAAATCAATCCAGGAGAAATTTATGTATATATTTTTGTATAACTGAATAAACTCTATTCTAAGTTAAAAAATGTACATATTACAAAACAAATTCCGAAGGTGCTCTATGAATTAAAATATGACTTAACTTTTTCTCTAAGTTATGACGTCATCGATGACGTAAGTAAATATGTATGTTTGAAAGGTACAAATGAAATCGCTATATGACGGACATCATGACATGAAGTTGACGATTGCGGCAGGAGCTAGGTGTTGTTTACATACCTACTTATTTGTCACTAATCGCTATCCCTATCTTTTTTTTTCTTAATGTTAAAAGGAGAAAAGTAAAGTCAAACTCAAAAGTGGAAAGGATAGTAATAATTGTTGTTGCTGTGAGCATACTGGTGACGTCATACTGAAGAGTATCATATTAAAAAAGTTTTTAATTAATATCTTGAAAACTGTTGGGTATTGAACTTTAGCGCAATGATCAATTTTGTTAAGGATGACTCCCTATATACAATATCAAAAATTCAGCAAAATTCCACATAGATCACTTTTCCATAAGAAATGTGCGGGGTCCTTTCAGACATAAAAAAACCTATTTTTCAAAAAAAAAGGGCAAATGATGACGTAAGTACAAACCCTCGTGAAACTAACTTTTTTTTACGCTGCAGCACCCCTCAAATTTGGAGCCTTGTTGCGCCTATAGATGAAGTTACCTTTTAGTGTAAAATCCAAAGGAAATGGGATAATGTACATCTTGCTTAGAAAACCAATTACTACTTATCAAAAAAATAATTTACAATATACACTTATACTTTCAGTGATTACAGTTTTATCAAACCAAGATAAGCAAACAATACACCTTCAAAATACTTATAACCATTTACTTTTATCTAGAAACAATCTGATTGTTTTCAGCTATTAAATTTAATAGTTATTATTAAAAACATTTAATACAAAACCCACACAAACTCACCTTTAAGTGTAATAAAATCAGCCTCGTATTTTTTCAATTTTTTAACTTTAATGCTGCAAGCCAATTTAATAAGTTGCTTAGCTGCTTCTTCGCTTCTACATTTCTTAGGCAAAGATACACGGAAATACTTTAAAATTCCTTCAAAATCCAATTGTAAAAGGTCCTTTTTGCAAGCCATCAATAATGCTAAGGCCATTTGAAAGAGGGTATCTATGCCTGAAATAACTTTACTCTCAAGTAAAACTAGAAAACAATATAATTGTTTACCTTGTAAGAGAAAAACGTCAATTATATGAAAAACAAAGTACAAAGGAAATCTGGCAGTAAATAGAGTTAGGAACCACTGAGACGCAAACATATGGGTTTCTATTCTATGTTCAGTAAAGTGGTGCCATAAGGGACTCAGTTGTTCTTCCATAAGTCTAAAAATCAATAATTGTAATTTATTCAACATAATATTAACAAGAGATTCTACCTGTTTAGTTGATAAAGTCTCAAATAAAGATTCTCAAACCCTTGCTTGTAAAAATCTCTCAACCTGTATTCGTACATCAGTTTGACTAGAACACAAAAGGCTTGTTCTTCAGGCATCTAAAAGTTTGCATTTTTAGTAAGTGAAAAAGTGTTTCGTTAGAAGCTTACATGTAACAAAAGAGTAGCGGCTAGGAAGCTTAGACCTTGACAGTACCCAACTTCAGTATCATATACAGCATAAGCTTTGCTTACTCTAAAAAGAAGCAAGTATTTGTTTAAAAAAATTATTATTAAAAATTGTTTACCTATATAGAGAATCCTGGCCCAATCCACCAGCTTCCTTGAAGAAATCATGGGCAGGAAAAGTACGGGCAATGTCGCGTTGGATCACGTTTTCGCAGGCCGACTCCTTGGAGATCAAAACTCTGTATTGTTCCATCATATCGCCGTTTTCTTCGACTCCTGCTAAACGCTGCCACACTTCGCCTCTTAGGGCTTCTGGGATGCCAAGTTTTACTAAACTTGCCAGCTACAATAAAAGTTACAATCAGAATTATTATCACTGGAATACAGATATGTATACCTGCTTCGGTCTTTGTTGTGTCTGCTTCCATTTGGTAAGAAGATCGGACCATGATTCTAGTACATCTTCGGCACAATCTTTTGATACTAGGCCAGTGCCACTTAGCAAGGGTTCATCACCATCTAGAATAAAAATTAATATACTTATTTCAATAGGTAAAAACTTATCTTTTACCTGAATGATATTCTTCTTTTGGTGTTAAAGTATCAATAGAAGTAATACTGGGAGATTGAATTAAGCTGGACAAATTCAAATTGAGATTCAGTAAATTTCTGTCCAATTCACCGGAAGTTTCCATGTTTAGGACTTCGTAAACGACTTCGTTGAGATCACTTGTTATATTCTGAAAGAATAAAGAGTTCAAATTTACGCAAAAATAACTTCACATTCCCTAGTGCACAATATTATGTTATCGTATTCAACTGAAACGAGAATAATAATTCCATAATTCAGGCCAATCAAAAAACAGTAATAATAGTGTAATAAATATTGCTTATCAATTATTTTTTAATGTTATTGATAACATAAACCACATGTCGTAAATATTTTTCAAGCAGATCAAACTCTAGTGGTATTAAAGGGTTTTTTGATTTGGCAAAATTATATGTATAAGAGAAAATTATTTAATACCAAAACCACAAAAGATAACAAAATTCCCTACAAGTAAATATTTATGGCTATTTTTCAAAGCATATTGTTATCAGCACTGGAAAATAATGAGGAAGAATACTTGTTTACCAATAATAATTATTAATCAGACAATGTTATACAATAATTCCTACTCACCTCTCTGAGATTAAGGTAAAATTGTTGTATTAAAGTTTTCCTTTGAAAATACCAGAAATTCCTTTCGCTCTGATTGAAAATACGAACTGGAGTCTCTATTAAAAACCTAAACAAGAAATAACACCATTATTCAGGCTCAATAAATACAATTTGTTTCTCACCTCACTGGTTCTTGAATGCCCCTAATAACCAAATCAATAGCTATAGTCATATACTGTTTAGTTTCCTTTGGAGTTTCAACATTCAAAGGTTCAAAATTTTCCTCTGTGGGATCCCATGTAGCCAAAATCATAGAGCAGTTATTGTCTGAAGAAGCATTCTTTTGCTCTTTCTGCAACCAAGAAATTGTATATAAGCTATTTGATAATAAAATCAATAACAAACCCTTTCCAAAAGCTGCATATCAGAATGCTTAACGTGTCTTCCAGGAGCCACTAACACTCCAAAACATCTTTCTATTATCAACTGTGGTCCATTATCAGAAACTTGCTTGATACCAATTGATATTTGTTTTTCTAAATTGGTTTTTAATCTGAAGCCATTCCTGTCTTTACCGACTGTTGAATATGAACCCTATAGAATAAAAGTTTCAAATTGAATATCCTATAAAAAATTACAATAAGCACCTTTCCATCATCCTCTTTAACTTCCAAGTTAACCTCAAAAACATACATTAAAGTCCTGGCTTCTGGGAGGGTAATTATAGAGCCACTCATCATATCAGCAGCAGAAGTAACGCTGCTGCTCATAGATCTAGGCACACGTTGAAATGCTTTAGCAAAACATGCTAGAAATTCATTAAGTAATTAAATATTTTCAAATTGATTGGTATTTTTACCTGATACCCTTGACACAGCTTCCACTATATCACATCGAAATACATGGCACTGAAAAATAGCTGTTTCCTGTGTGTCTCCGTGAGACCAAGTAAAAGCAAAACATCCGGCTTCTTTACTATCCACAGACCCTCTTGCATAAAATAAAATGCGGTGAATTTCATACCGAGATATGACTGAATTTGATAGGCCATCATACAAGCTAAAATTAAAAAGTTAAAAAAGATAAATTGCTTAAAATTTGAAAATACTCACACAACAAGCCCTTGGCTAGACAAAGGCACAGATACAGAAACTTTAATGCCTTGCTCGATACTTTGCTCATTCAAAATAGCCATATTCCTATGAATTTCAACTTCAGACTTGGGGGCGTTAATTTGGGCTGCTCCCAAATAAGTAATTCCAGCAAAAATGGTGCAATCTTGGTCGACATCTGAAACTTTTGTAGAAAAGATTTCGAGAATTTAGACGCATCAAGCGCTAAGCTACACTAGAACTTCTACCTAAATAGAATCTATTCTACGCTTTGAGCAACTTAATAAATCACTTACTACAAGATTCATCATCCTCAGAACTATGATCTGCCTTCATAGAATCCTGTTTCTCAGTGGGACTTAGCTCTTGACTCAAAGGGTCCTGGCCCAATCCCACAGGATCTCCATAAAAAGTAGAATGACCAACTTTTCTGTTAGATTCTTGTCCATCGATGCTATCAGTCATGTTGTCAGTTTCTTGCAAAACCTTTGGAGAAAATATTTTTTTGTTGTTTGTTAAAACTAAAGTTACTTGCCTCGCTCAAAGCATCCCTTAAATCGTTCATGCCCCCTTTAAAATCCAGGGTGGGTGTTTTGCTGGCTCCCGGTTTGTCAGATACAAAATCGAATTCGTCACTAGTTGGCGCTGATTCGTTTGACTTTACACTTAAAGTGTCCTCCATAACGAACCTAGAATTATTGATTGAACACTAGATACAAAATGAGAGCCTAACAAAAATTAACAAATATATTTATACATTGGCAAAGGGAAACTAAGACTGAAACCTATAAAAATTTTATTTGCTGTACGTGATTAAAACACAAATATATTATAGAACAAATCGCGATTGACTCATAATAGGCCTGCGGTGAATAAAAGTAATTAGGAGATATTGCTTAACATTCTGTTTAAGATAATGTGCATTGGATTTATCATGGCTTTTGTTTGCCTATATGGGTAATGATTTCCGCTTTTTAGAACAAGACATAGAAAGTGATAAATATAAAGATTATACCAAATGACTGGATAGTATTATGGCATTCTGGATCAGATTATATAATAGATAAATAGGGACTTGATTAGGAAGAAAGTCAAATCTTCTTACTCTTAACATATACAAACACATTGAGTTTTAAATAAGAGTTGGAAGATCTCATGTTGGAAACAGAGACAGGTTCCAGAACCTTATAAAGCTTCTGAGGCTTGTTGGTAATTTTTGCTTTGGGGTGCATGTCTTATTTGTTTAACTTTTTCATTGCGTTGTAGGCTATCAACTCAAAAGAAGACACTCATAAAGAATTCTTTTATTTAATGGAAGAATTTTTTTCTCAATTACCCACTACAGCAATTATTACAGTGTGGAATTACTGCCTAAAAAAATCACAAATAGCTATCAAAGTAGGGCATATTATTTTAATAAGAAATTTCTTGAATATTCAATGGAGGCCTATATTAGTTCTGTGGCTGTGCCTTATCATTTCTGTTGTTCTGTCTGTGGCTTATTCTATACAGGGTGTTTGTTTTTTGGGCGGAAATATTTGGATATGGGAAACTATATGAGAAATACAGGTTCAGTAAAAGGAGAAAGGGGGGATTTGTTCCACACAGGCCTTATGAGGATAGGCTATCCTTTACTAGTAGTGTGTATCATCCTTGCCTGTCAAGTTCTGCAAGGTCTTGTCAAGTCCTGCAATGTCCTTTCTGTCAAGTCCAGCAGCTAATTTTTTAAAACAGTAAATATCATTTCTGATAAGTCTTGTATGGGTCCTCCCAAGTCTTGCCAGATCTTGTCAAGTCCTGCCATGTCCTGTATCGGTCCTGCACCTGATTTTGTACACCTCGTGCTGGATCTGTCCCCCTCGCTATATCCAGAAGTATTTGGAATTATGTATTTCAAATTTCGAAGTGGTGGTTTGTTAAGCAAGAAATTGCGCAATTTCACTCCAATTTAACCAGTCCTGTATCTCTTACCGTCTCCTATATCCCAGTGGTTGCCTTTCAAAAACGGATACCCTGTATATAGGTCTAGATATAGGTAACTGTCACCAGTTTCTGAAATGTTGAGAAGGTTGGCATCAATGTATATTATTTTTGGATACATTTTTTCCTAATTAAGTGGGAAAGTAAATACCTTTACTAATGAAAAGATAAATATAAACATTTCTTTATTCAAAATTTAAGTGCGATATAACAGAAACAAATCCTAAATCAAATAAATATATACTTAAACCGGGTCTATAAAAACAATGTTTTTGAGCAGGAAAATAAAAATCTAAATATGTATTATTTTTCCTGTTAATATGTCGAAAATCAAATTAAAATGAATAATAGGTCTATTGTCTTGAAACATCCTAATGTTGTTGACAAATCCTTAAAAGCAAAACGATACCTATTGAAAATTTGAAAAATATAGAAAATCAAAACAGTCTAAAATTTGAAAGTGCCAAACCAACGGTCTAATTCATTACATTACTTAGTATAAAAATTCTCAAAATGACCAAAATACTGACTGAAATTCGTGAAAAAAAAAACACAATACCAGGGATTGAAATTTTGAAAATTGTATTAAAGTCAGTTTTTCTCAACCCTATTAGAATTTGATTAGAGAATTCTTTGCAAGTTGTGAATTGGTATGAGTAATAGAGCAACTGCTGGAAAAAGGACTGGAACAGAAATTCTAATATTTGTCTACACCCAGCTGAGCATTTTTTTTTTCAACTTAGCTAGTTTCAAGGTGTAGGTATAGAAAATTTTAAAAAGGACTTTAATAGTATCCTACAGGACTTGAATAGAACTATGCAGGACTATACAATACATCAACGGGACCACATAGCACTTCAAAAGGACTATACACTTATACAGTACTTCAACATGACTATACAGTATTTCAACAGGACTATACAGTACTTTATTCAATGCAGGACCCTACAGCACTGGTGTTATGCCAAGAAAAAAAAACTTTCTATTTGGCTCTCTGGATTTCTTTCTAGATTAACTGAATCGGTTTTACCGCATTATTATTTTCTGTTGTTTTTTTGCTCAGTTTTTGTGGATAGGAATTTAAATTATTTTAGAATTCATTGGTTTTATTAGGTATGTTGCAACATGTCAAAAACCAACCCATTCTATTGTACAAATTTTATACTTTTACATTACTAGTGTAGGACCTACAGAACTTGTACAAGATTTATATAGGACCTGCAAGATCTCAAAAATATGTGGGTACTGAAAGACGTTATTCAAATCTGATGACCCTGTGCAGAAGGATTTGTGAATTTTGAATGCAATAGGAAATTGTCCTTTTCTGAAGCCAAAACTATCTGAGTCAAGAATGAATTATACATAGATGTTACAAAAAGATCTACGAGCATTGTATAGCACTATTGAAAAGCTGACACTTGACAAAATAGGTATTGGAAAATTATTAGAAAAGGTTTGACATAATTAGTATTCTGCTACAAAATTCTCTCTCCCAAAATGCCTATCCACATGAATGTGATAAAAGCATTCAGAGCTGAGCTAAGTACTGAGCAAAGGCACAAAGAATTAGGTACAATATGTTTTTGTATAATGTACTTCAAGTATTAAGCATTTTACTTAAATTTAAAAAAAATAATATAAGTAGTAGTACATAATAGTACTCGTGATATTACTTCAAGTATACAGTATTTAAGCACGTTTCATATGTATTTGTAGAGACCTACTTATAAATACTTTAAATACTTATAAATTTTAGAGTATTTATGTATCTACTTACTTTACTTAAAAACCTACTTATACACGTTTTGCAAAATTGAGTGGTGAAGTGCAATTTAAAACATGTATGGCAACACATTATTAGTTCTTTTTGATTTTTCCCTTATACATATAAGCATTATTTCCCGAAAAATACTCAAATAAACCAAATAAGTACTAAGGCCCAGTTGTACAAACCAGGTTCAAACAGAGGCTCAGTTGAACTCTACTGGTACTTGAACCTTCCCATTTGAAATGCATTGCTGTCAGAAATATGCCAAAATATATATTTCTTGACAGCAATGCAATTCAAATGGTAAAGTTCAAATACCAGTAGAATTCAACTAAACCTCTGTTTGAACCTGGACTGTACAACTGGACCTAAGAGTACATATTAACTAGGATAATGTATAATAAGTAAATACCCACTTAAAATAGTTTGAATACTTTTGAGAACTTTGGAAAACTACTTTTTAAGTAGAATCAAATTTTCAGTACATCTTTAAATGTAAAATTGTCAAATTTAAGTACATATCAGTACAGGGTGTTTCAAATTCGATCATTGGGATCTCCGAAACGGTGAGAGATACAGTTGGTTAAATTGGGGCAAATTTGCGTAATTTGATGCTTAACAAAATGCCGCTTTGATATTTACGATATTCCAAATACTTCCGAAATTTTACAAAATTGTTGGCCAATGAAATCGTGGTAAAACCAGATGACAATTATCTGAAACAAACCTCAAGTGACTTTGATCAGTTTGTTCAGATTGAAAAAAAAACCTAAATTATCAGAAGTATACAGGGTGTGTCACAAAAGTATGGCAGAGCAAAGTTATTTGTTTTTTTTAAATGGACACTTCGTTTATTACTGAACTATTAGATTAGTCTTTCAAACCTGATTCCAAAGATAGTAGGCTCGATACCTACTAGGTAAAAAATCCATATCATTTCTTCAAAATGGGATATTCAGAGGATGAACTATTAAGGCCGTTTTACAGCTTGCAATTCTATCTGCAATATGCAAGAAACTTGAACGAGGGCATGCGCAAAAGTGAGTCAGCTGATTGTTTTCTGCAAGATTCTTGAAACTTGAATGGCATTGCATGCAATCGGTTTGGTGCCATTTTTATGAAGGTTTTCGCACAAGCTGGGGAATTTTTAGCAATTATGATGCCTAAAGTGACTTATAATCACTTTTTTCATTTTTGGAAAATGCAAACATCAACAACGCAACATTAAAAAAAAAAGTATGATTAAGGTAGAGAAGGAAACAAGTCAAATTGCAAGGTGTAAAACGACGTGCAAGAAATCTTTAATGCAATTTTGTTGCATGCAAAAAATTGCATTTAAGTTTTCTTGCAAGCTGTAAAACGGCCTTTAGTAATAAACCTAAAAAACCTAGTAGAAGGTAGCTTATGATTTAGATTTTGGAAAACTTTGAAGTCATAACTTTTTTTCTATTATAGATAGAAAGCTGTAATTTTTAGTGATTCTTAATTCCAGTAGAGGACTACAGTCCCTGAAAATTTCAGCTCATTAAGACTTATAGTTCCAGAGATAAAATCGTATTAAGCAATTTGGGGTGATTTATCAATTTTTCAATTTTTCTGAGTGCCTTTTTTCATAGGATCCGGCTCCAAATCTCAGGATAATTTAGTGTATGGAGTTTGGGGGATCCCAAAGGACCATTAAGACACAAAATATCAACAAAAAAAAATTGAAATTTCATCGTTTTAGGACTGAGGTAGCTAGCTACCTTATGATTAAGATTTTGGAAAACTTTGGAAGGTCATAACTTTTTTTCTATTAAAGATAGAAAGCTGACGTTTTCAGCGATTTTTATCCCAGTAGAGGACTACAATCCCTGAAAATTTCAACTCATTTGGAGTTACAGTTCCAGGAATAAAATCGTGTTAAGCAATTTGGGATGATTTTTCAATTTTTCCGAGTGCTTTTTTTCATACATTTGGGTTTCAAATCTGAGAATAATTTTGTGTGTGGCGTTGAGGGGGTCCCAAAGGACCATGAGGCCACAAAATCTCAACAAAAAAAAAATTGAAATTTCATTGTTTTAGTAAGAAGGAACCTTTATGATTTAGATTTTGGAAAACTTTGAAAGTTCATAACTTTTTTTTTTTATTGGAGATAGAAAGCTGAAATTTTCAGGGATTCTTATCCCAGTAGAGGATTATATTCCCTGGAAATTTCAGCTCATTTAGACTTATACTTCCAGAAATAAAATCGCGTTAAGCAATTTGGGGTAAATTTATCAATTTTTCTGAGTGCCTTTTTTCATAGAATCGGGCTCCAAATCTCAAAATAAATTAATGTATGCAGTTTGGGGAATCCCAAAGAACCATTAAGACACAAAATCTTAACAAAAAAAAAATCGAAATTTTATCGTTTTAGTACTGAGGTTAGTGGGATATTTGGAATTAGGTTTTAAAGATTAATCCAATAGGTCAATAAATATACGGGTTGTTCCATTCAAAAAAGTATAATTTTGCTCCGCCACACCCTGTGTACTTGTAACTGACTCCATTGAGAACTTTCTGATATTACCTACAACTTTCACATTTGACATTTCTGGGTAGGTATCTCTTCAAACAGGTAAGATAATAATAATAATAATAATAATAATAAATTCGTTTATTTCCAATAAAACATATTTACATGTTGTAGGAAATGTTGATAGGTAATACTATTTCAAGAAAGTTTGTTAATTATACGAATTAAAAAACACTATTGAAGATCAAACAGGTGAGTATCGGCAATAACAAAATTCAAAATATTAGGGCATTCCAAAAATAGCATTAAGTAGGTACACAAAATAGGCATAAAAAAGTGATTTTTAGGACATTACATTTTAACAAATCATTGAGTAAAGCCCACCACCTACCATTAAATTAACTATACAAAGAAAAAGCGAGAAAGTATGTATAATAATAGAGCAAAAATTATAGATAGGTTGTAGAGAGAAGAATATACCAAATTTATATTTATCTACGATTATCAACAACTTAATAACTAAGATTATCAGTTAAGAATTCCTCTACAGTATAGTAAGCTTTCGATATTAATAATTTTTTCAGTTTATTTATAAACTTGTTCAAGGAGAGTTCTTTATACTGATTCGGAAGTGTATTGTAAAACTTACCACACATATAGAAAGAATTTTTTTGATATGCTGCTGTTGAATGTCTCTCCAGGCTTATAGTATTTTTGGCCTGTCTGGTATTTGATTCAAAAAACGTGAATTTATGTTTGTTCTGTGTGGGTGCAAAATATGAACAATCACTCGGTACTCTTCTTATGAAGGTACCTAGGTAATTAAGTAAAATATTTAAAGTACCTACCAAACTCGCTATCAAATGTACTGAATATTGTAGGTACTTTAATATATTTTTCTAATCAGTACTTCAGTGTCAGTGCTCTGAAAGCACTGGATGGAAATCCTCCAAATAATGGAATTCCAATTTTTCTATGAATCAGAGAGAGTGGCAAACATGACAATAATTAAATGATCTTCGGGGTTATCTGTTATAGTTGTTTCTTGGTATTTTTATAGAAATTATCACAAACAGTTCCAGCTCTGATTCACATGAAAAAAGTGATATTTAACTACAAGATAAAGAATTTAATGACTTAAAGTGAATTGATAAACTCAGGTAACAAGTAAAATATGTGATAAGAACTATTGTTTTTATACCTACCAGTCTTATTTTTAACACATATAAAAATTTGAAGCATTTCAATTCAAATGGTTTTGGAACAAACAAAGCAGTTAAAATTGTTATAGCCAAGGAAAATTCCAGTTATACAACATAAATAGGATGACAATAGGCAAAAGCTTCCTACAGGGCCAATGACACCCCCCAAGAAGGCCCCCCCAATAATCAAAAATTACTCACCTATTATTTATTGATTCAATTTACGAGTTGATTGTACCATTTCGGCCTGACCTATTGGCATTTTTCAAGATGCAACGATAAACTGACTAACGACTAGACGAGGGACTGTTTTATTTTTATTTTTACGAGGTGAGAGAAAAATCGAATATCAAACTTTTTAATTTGACAATAAATAATCGAATAATGACATTGACAATTATCAATTGTCAAGAAAAATTAACGGTGCATTCAGTGGACGTTGTTTCACTGAAATCTTACCCCTGGCAAATTAGGAATGTACGAATGCATAACGTGAAGAAACATCGAAAACATCGAAATCATAACATCGATTTTAACATAAACTTCCCTCTCAGTCAGTTCAGAATTCCAGTATCCTCAAATAATTCGCGGTAATTCACAGGGACGACAATGTCCAACAAAGATCGATTTATCATAATAATCGATAGTTTTCTTAACAAATATCGATGTTTTGCAAACAAGGATTTTCGATACGCATCCCTATGTCTAAATTTGAATTTGACATATGAACTCCCGCCATTTTTTGTAGTCGGCGAAACTGTAGTAAAGAAAAAGTTCTACGTTCTACAGTTTTAAGGCGGTTACACACGGACGTTGATGTCTGAAAACATGTACGCACATACATGAACGTGCAAACAAAAACATCAATGTGTATGCAAAATATCGTCGTGTTTTTGAATGTGCAATTTTGTATGCACACTCGGAACACTGTAGCAAGAATAGCAAGACTGTAGTTTTGTGCGAGCGTCTGTACTCTGTACAAAAGCGCCATGCACGTTGTTGTTTGCACGTTGATGTATGCACGTATATGTATTAAGATATCCACGTCCGTGTGTAACCGCCCTTACATGTAAAAAACTTTAAATTTAAAAGTTTACTTTATTTGATCACAAAGGCACAGATACATAAATAAAATAAAATATCTGAAAATCAACAAAATATTATTGGAATGGTTTATAACGAGTTTCATATCAGTCAAGTTCGTGGTAAATATAGAAACAACAGGAAAATATAACGAAGATAGGTAAGTAGGTACATGAATAAATAAAATTAGTAACAAGAAGTTGCCTTTTGTACCTATATATAAAACAAACAAAATTCAACAATTAGGTATAGTCTCAAGTATAGTATTTACAAAGTCAGTTAAAACAAGGTAAAGGTAATTTGCAACTGGTGGCTGACTAGTGGCAGTTCATTTCTTATAAAAAAATTCAGTCACCAGTTGTAATTTACCTTTACCTTGTTTCAACTGACTTTGTAAATACTATACCTACATTAGGTCTGTTCGTAGAGAAATCACAAACCAGTCAGAGCGAATTTCATTGGTTGAGAACAGTCAGAAACAGTCAGAAAACTAGTTTCAACCAATGAAATTCACTCTGACTGGTTTGTGATTCCTCTACGAACAGGCCTAATGTCTTTGGATTGTTTGGTATGTTCTGCATAAAATATTCAAATTCCAATCAAAAAATGTTAAGGTTTCCCTTTGCAATTTTGCTCTGCCAAAAGTTCCTTGATAATTTGTCGATATCTTTCAGTCATGGGAGCGTAAATTTCTTCGGCATCAGAATAGGGATCGCACACTTTTTGGGGTTCCGGCAAAACTGAAATAATTTCGCTATAGCTGACTTCTGGCAGCAACCCGTGCTTAGCTTGATAAGCTGCGCCTAACATAGCTGAGTTAGCTGCTTCCTGAACGTATACAGGGGAATTTAAAACGTCGGCCAAAACTTGTAAAATTGCCTTGTTTTGGGAAGCTCCACCAGTTGCGAGGATTTTTGTGCCTTTGCCTTAAACATTTTCATTAATAATTACAGAAATTTCAAACATAATATATTATCTTACCAACTTTCAAACCAAAATCTTCAGCATATGCCCGTTTGGCTATAAACTGTCCCTCCACACAAGCCCTCACTTCAACTTCCAAACTAGAAAACTTATTCACTTTTTGAGTTTTATTGTATCTAAAGTCTCCTTTGAGAAATGGTAAGATTTCTTGTACGTCATAGTATAAACCCATATTGCCAAAGTTTCCTCTTGGTGTACTTTCCAACAATTGGTTAAAAATATCCCAATTTCCTTCTGTACACGTGTTTCTTATTCTCTCCCTTGTAAGAGAGCCATTTTTGAAACATAGCAACGCCATGTAGGCATCTTTATCTATAGGATTGCAAAGCACATGACCATCAAGCACTAATTTTGGTTCCGCTAGCCATAAGAAAGCTGTATCGCTGGTGCCTAAACTCACAGCTATCCATCCATCTGATAATCGCATACCTATTCAGGAAAATTTCAATAGAAGAAAAAATTATTTATTGAATAAAATTTTACCCACTAATGATGCTGGGTTATCTCCAGTGCCTGCTATGACCCTACATTTGGGCAAAAAATGATATCTTTCTGCAAAGTAATTAGAAATAGGTCCAATATCTGTATAGGATGGTACTGGTTCTCCTAACTTCTCTTTCAATCCGGGTGCACACGCGTCTAAAAGAGGTTGGTGCCAAGTTTTGGTTCTGATGTCCATGAGATTCATTCCTGATCCGTCTGAAATATCTATTGGTGCTATTTGTCCTAAGAAAAGGCTGGTCACGAAACTACTTACAAGGGAGACACGCTACAAAAATAAAAGTTTTGAAAACAAGAATTTTTTTTCCTAATTAACATACCTCAGTATTTTTATATGCATCAGGTCTGGTTTGGAAAATTTTAGCTATTTGCGAACCAGTAAATCTTTCGTAAGCTCTTGAGCCTGTGATTTTGGCTAATTCCTGGAAATTGAAATTATTGTTATTCGCCAAAATCTGATAAAAGTTGCTTCGCTATTCATATTTATTACAAGCATCAAGATTATCATTTAAATATCACTATTTCCGCAAAATTTTTATTTCCTTTAATGAAATCTGAGATTGGATTGGAGAAATAAAATTTTTATTGCACTTTTACTGCTTCTTCAATCTCCGTGAATGACTTGGCAATTAGTATACCCACTTAATCAATTGAATGCTATATTTTATTTAGTTTTATGTATGGACTTTAATTATTTTATCAGTGGCGAATATATTTGTTTTACCTCTGGTCCACCAACGGCTTCTTCTAATTCCTTACATTGTTTTGTTGTGCTAGAATCCATCCAAATAGGGCTGTTTGTGACAGAAAAGCTGTGTGCTAACTGTTCATGTAAAAATTGACTTGGATCCAGTTTTTTTAAAGTTTCTTCAGAGCCTCTCTGCCAATATACTGAACCATGTTGCTGAAAAATAAACAAATTTTCTGTGTAGGGATAATTTTAATGGCAATAGAAGCAATTCATACCTGTGCAGTACCACTAACTGCAGCGATTTTTGAAAAATCCGCTCCAGTCACAATCATTCTATCCATTAAAATGTCGAATGCTTTCACCCACATCATTACAGGAGCTGAAACATAAAGTTAAATTATTAAACTAGTTATAATTTTGTTGGAATCCTTTTGTTGGAATCATTTACAGATGGCACAGGCACAGTCCCACAAGTGTGGAAAAATGCAATTGTCATTCTGATCTATAAGAAAGGCGATAAACACTTAGCTGAAAACTATAGGCCTATCAGGCATCAATACCCTGCAAATGTATAGAAAAGATTATAGCTACTAAAATGACAAAATTCCTTATGTCCTATCATGGTGATCGACTATCCAATCAGCATGGTTTTCTGCTGGGGAGATCAGTTACATCCAATCCCCTGTCCAGCCTGGAACACTAGACCAAGTCATCTGCAGAGCATTATTCAATTGACGTTGTGTACCTCGACTTTGAAAAGGCGTTTGACACTGTTCCTCCAGTGAGACTGCTTCACAAGCATGAGCATTGTGGACTGTGGTATATGAGGTCGGCTGCTTCGATGGATTCGGGACTACTTGCGTGGTCGGACATACCAAGTCAGAATAAATGGCTCGTTATCGGGCAAGCACAATGTAGTCAGTGGAGTTCCACAGGGCTCTGTGCTGAGCCCACTTCTATTTATAATTTGTATCTCAGATATCGCCTAGAATAGGACCTGTATGTATGCCGATGACACCAAGATATTCTGTAACCCTACATTCCAACATGGTGCTAAATGGTTGAGGATCTTGCTGAGCTGGATAGGTGGACGAAAGACTGGTTATTGAAACTTAATGTCAGCAAATGTTGTGTGTTGCACATTGGATACAACAATCCTATGGTGAACTACCATATGGGCAATAACAACTTGAAAACGGTGACTGAGCAGGCCGACTTAGGAGTAAATATCTCACATGACCTAAAATGGGAACAGCACGTGCATGCAATCGTGAAGCGAGCCAACTCAACAGTCTATCCTGATAAGACGCTGTTTCAGGGAAATGTCCCCTGAAGTGTTTCTCCGAGCCTACAAAACCTACATCAGACCACTGCTAGAGCATGCTTTTGTGGTTTGGTGTCTCTATTTCAGAAAAGACATAGATCTCATTGAGCGTGTCCAGAGGAGGGCAACCAAAATTCCACCATCTTTAAGAGAATTGTTCTTATGAAGAACGACTGAAAGCTCTTAATCTGACAACTCTGGAGGAACGCAGAAATAGAGGATACTTAATCGAAACATACAAAACTCTGCATAATCATTACACATGCGACATTGATTTCTTTCACAGAAATATCAACCCTCATCTGCGTGGACACTCCCTGAAGCTCTCCACCGAACTTTGTCACAGACTTTCCAGGAAGAATTTTTTCACAAATCGAGTGGTGCAACAGTGGAATCAGCTCCCTGACGAGGTTGTAACCTCCCCTAGTGTGAATGCCTTTGAGAACAGACTTGATAAATATTTTAGTGATAGGCCGTAAAATAATGTACTGGCAAGTAACATTCCCAGCACAAGAACTAATGACAGTCTACCGGTTTTTCCGCCTACTGTCAAAAACCCCTATAATAATAATAATAATAATAATTAATTGCATTATTTCGTATGTCGTATGTCGGTCATTGGTGACCTACCTATTAAAAAGTATTTTGAATTTGGAAGGTATGTGGGTACAAAAAAAATGTTAAAGGTTATTTGGAACGGAATACTAAGTACCTAATTAAAACTGTAACATGTGAAACTTGATGTCCTTTTACCTGTGATGTTCTGGGAATCATATTTGTCCACAATAGCGCCACCCTGGGAACGAAATTCTGGAAGATCGGTGTCGAAAAGCACAGAGGCTTCATGTAGAACTTCGAGATTGTCGTTTACTATAGCTGCCTTGAGCTGCGAACAAACAGAATAAGAATTATTACTTGTTTTTCAATTAGTTAAGCTGCAAAATTATTGTTAATTAATTTCAGAACATCTCTGAATCATTTGGTCTTTGAAAACTTATAGTAGCAAACATGTTTTTTTTTACAATGTTAAAACAAATATTTTATTTAACTTTAAGGAGAAACTAAATTTCCAAGGAGCATCTCAGTGGTACCCTTAACCTTAAGGCGTTGATTGGTTAAGGTGAATTCGAAAACATTTCATTCAGGTAGCTTAAGATTCACTTTGAATAAAGGGTACTTTGATATATGGTGATACTGTATTAAGGATGACTTAACGTACATGGGAAAAGCCCCTCTAGCTAAGTCTCCTCCCAGTGCAAACTACCTTTAATGGGAAACGCCTGTCTGGGAGTATTGAACGCAACAGACTAGGTCCAGTGCAAACTACCTTTATTGGGAAACGCCCTTCTGGACCTGTCTCAAACCTAGCTTCTACTGGGAGCATTGAATGCAGCAGACTAGGTCCAGTGCAAACTACCTTTATTGGGAAACGCCCTTCTGGACCTGTCTCAAACCCAGCTTCAGTCACGCCAAGTGTACATAATACAGAGTGGCCTTGGCCTATAAGTATATAGTACGTTCCTCCGTAGAAGAGAGTGAAGGGACGTCATGATACTATTTCTAGGGTAATATTATTATTATTCAATACATTATCTTATTATACCTATACCAAGTCATTAAGCTGTTAGTTTTATTTTCACAGCTTTTGTCAATGAGTGTACTTCTGACAATAAAGCTTATTTGATTTGATTTGATTAAGATATCTACTTAGGGGATTATGATATGTAGTATGTAAGATGTAAGTACCTATTCGTTTTTTGATAATTTTTCGAGGTACCTACTCAAATTATTTATATATGGTAAAAATACGTAATTTTTTGCCATAGTAAGATGTAGATACCTACTCTTATTAGTAAGTAGGTATAGGCATAAGTCCGATTCTTGGTAAACTTCCAGATATTTCCGCGGGTATTCAGGTTTAATCTTATTTATAACGACATCGATTCAACAAAGTAGAAAATGCGTCTTTATCACGCGAGAAAGATCGATCATTTTTAACATATACGCTGCATAGCGTGAAACTACCTTATTTACACACTCCAAGTTTTATTAAATTGCAAATAAAATCTCATATTATAAAAAAAAAGGTCCTGATAATGGGGGAAAAAGTATCGCCGCAAATGCTAAATGCTTATCAGCTGATTGTTAATAACATAAACAAATCTACTAAGTATATTGAATCGCTAAAGTAAAAGACGTCACCTACCTGTTGTGTGCTCAAGTCCACCCCTAAAAAATGCCTGTCCTGGGTCCCCATAGAGTTGCTTCTGGAAGTGTCCTATTAGAAGGGCTGAAAATCGATGAAAATAACCTTAACACGCGGCTTTTCTATGAAAAACCACCGTTGAATAACTGAACCTCGCTCTGTTGTGTGGCAGCCTACTCGACGACTGACTATAATGCAATAAATAAAAACGGATTCATGACGCGGTTGGTTATCGCCAACGTTGGCTTTCACTTATTTTTCAGTTGTAAGAATATTTAGCGTGAAATTACGAAATAAGTTCGAATCTTGTCTTGAGGTCAAGGAATTGTTTTAGTTTTGGATAACGCGCTTATGAACTTCTCTCTATTGTAGGTTGAGAAAATATATACATCCAAATGACTTCAAAGTTCAAAATAAAAGTTTTCTGACTGAAGAGTGCAAGAAGAAACTTAAAATTAAACTATTCTTTCCATATACTTAGTCTGCCTCTAATGCTCTGCTTCTACAAGCAAACATTATTTGCTTTTTGCTTGATGTAAGCATATGTAAGCTGATAATCAGTGCTATCACTCTCTGATAAGTTATTATATGACTCGGAGGAGCAATTCACACAACAAATATTCATAGAAAGACCACAAAATTACTTTGTAAAGGATAGCAGTGTCCAGCTTCTGGGCATGAAAACTACTGGATTATTTCTGAAGGTTTGCATCTAGAAATCCATAAACATTAGAGTAGCTTGGGATAGTAATATATAGTTCAAATAGAATAAAATTTAAAATCGTTGACAGCCTGGTGAAAGTACTGCAGTACAATCCAATCAATTTTCAACTACATCGTACATACCAACGGTAGACAGTGGTTTTGTTTTCAGTTCTGTATCACTGAATAGCGCTATATGGACAATAGGAATATTAGAAAAAGAACACAATAAAACTATGAACTATTCAATAAGGAACCCTCTATAGGCTAATAGGCTCTATAGACCAAAATCTCAAATGTTTTCATTCTATAGGACATACATATTGCCAAAAGATACTTGAACTTGCCTCTAATGGCCGATAATTATTTCTGTTGTCTTCCCAGTGCGTTCTAAATAGAAATTCATATCAGTTCCAGGTTTAACTTACGCTAAACTCCTTCAAATTTTCAAGAAAAACTTCTTTCATGGTACCATTGTTAATACAGCAGCCATCATAAAGTCCAATAGACGCTTTCCTTCTTACCCTTTCCTTGGTAACAGGTTTGATCATAACCAATGCCACTTCTCTGTGCATAACCTGTTATGACCAAACTCCTCTACTGAACATTCTAATAGTTCTCTTTCCTTTGGACAAATGTTCAAGATTCCATAATGTAGGTAATATTCTTAATTTCCGGCGATTCTAATTCTTCTTTTTCTTCACCTGTCTTGGTAATTTGATGTTTCCTTGAGCTATAGAGTATATTCAATTCAAAAGTCACTAAATCTTTTTTCATATGACTTTGCCTCAACCTCAACCTTCTAGTCAGTTCCCTCCCCTAGTTTCTCCAGAAACGTTTAAAAATTTATCCGATCGTAAGTCAGAACGTCAGTTGAAGTACCTAACTGAGACGAACTTTCAAAAAACATCCTTCGTACCTTTTGTGCTATTAGGGTAAAATGGCATACGATTCGAATATGTCTTGATCATGCCAACATGTCCCTATATCTATATTCCAGAGTTTGTAGTTCGTTTACTTGAATTTTTTAATCATCAAAAACTATTCAGTTGAAATTAAAAGGGTGAAAATCCTGACGCCAAAAACCGCGTAGTTTTCTTCCCTCGATTGGTCTCGGAGGCGCCTCTAATAATCTCTCCCCCAGTTTCTATATATATATCCAATTAAATCGTTTTTATCTGGACGAAATGAAAATATTCGACAAACATCCATATAGCTGCTGCTGGTGCCAAAGACGCTGCCGACGGGGCCCGGTCTGGGCGTCAGGACGCCCCGCTCGCGGCGCCACCGATTTTGTTATTCCGACGTCGGGTCCGCCGTCCCTTTGGTACACAACACATTGGATGATACTTAACGCAAATTGCTGTACTTTGTATTATAAATGTCTTATGCATGTATGTGCGATTCCTATATTTCTTGCCGCATCCGACGTCAGATATTTTAACCATCAACAATTTCCAGCATTCAGCAAGATATAGGGGATAATATTCAACGAAAACCGGGATCCTACACGGCACTGATGAAGTGCCAGAAGACCGAAACACGTGGATGTTGGAACCGCAGCGAAGACTCAGAACTAGTTCCGAATCATTCTGCACATGCGTATGTCATAGAACCGCGTTTTCGTTTTTTCAAAATCGTAATCGAACTTTGTTGTCAGGGTTTTGGATTATTTAAAACTTTATAAGAACAATTCTGGGATTGTTCTGGAACGATTCTCCCAGCTCTTGCTCTGAAGGAAGAACTGTTTTGGAATTTTGTGATTTCTGGCTTGTTTTCTATTTTTTTCATTCTGAATCGGTTCAGAATTACTATTAGAACAGTCCTCCATTTTTATTTGTGCGCAAGCAGTTCTGCGAGAATCCAGAAGCGTTCCAGTTTTCTTACCAAAACAAAGCTACAGTCTTGTAGATTGTAGATTGTGGGGGAAGTCGTTTCAGCTTTACGGCCGCTCAGCACTGCTGCCTTTGCAGAATGCAGATATTTTGTACGTGACTCTACATCAAATTGTCTCCAGGAAACCTAGACCTAATTCTGTCGAAGGAAGCTATTTTTCTAGGTGTTAGTTGGCCCACTTCTTCTGGTGACAGTGTTGACCTCTCGAGGAACTTGCTCTTCGGTCTCTATTGCCAAATCTGCAGAGATATAATCATCTGGAGAAAAATAAATAAATTCCATCATATAGTTTTTGATATGTGTGGGAAATAGAATTGCATTGAACAGCATAGGGAGAAAAAAAAAAACTCTTAAGTCACCTGTAGGCAGTCCTACGACCATTCTTATGTCTGGTCTGCTCATGTTTAGGAGCTGTTCAACTCTTCTTGCTGAAAAGGTAATAAACCTTTTTGACTCACAGTCTTACCTTATGTATTCTTTTTTGTATGAGTCTTGAAATTTTGATAACTTGGCGTGAGATGTGGCTGGAAATCTCAGGTCATCTTTTTAATCGGACGGTTAGGCTCAGGAGCGATAGCCATGCAGCGCTTAAGTCATTAAGGAGCGTAAGTACCACGTCCAAAACAGTGAAACACTGCTAATTACAATAACTACCTGTGAACTGTCGTCGACATTGATTTTCCATGGGTTTCAATTCCTCGTATGTACGTACGAATTAATAATTCAATAATTCGTTCAACTTGCAATGGAATGTTATTTAAATATAACGTGATCAATGATCTTCCTGAAGCCCATGGACCTTTTTTGGAAGACGATGGAGTTGAACTGGCAAAACGCTGCAAGGTGATCCTTGAATGGGTGCCAGGACACACAGGGATTGAAGGGAATGAAAAGCTGATCTTCTCGCAAGAAAAGGATCAAACTGGAGAAACAGTTAAGAAAGCAACACAAAAAACTCTAGATGAAACTTCCTTGACTCGGACAGTCCAAACTCTTTATGGAAGGACCATCTATAAGAGCAGAACAGAAGAACTGCTTAGCTTATGCAGGAGACAATTGATAGATGTGATTGGATTGTTGACAGGACACTACCCTCTCACAAAACACACAATGAAGCTAACAAAAGAATCGCTGTATGAAAGATGTTTAGAGGAAGAGAGGAGACACCTTGTAGTATAACATATCCGGGTTCGTTCAGTAAGATTGAACGGTGAGAATTTTTGTTACCTTCTAAACAACAAATCTTCTGAAAAATGGAATGAAAAACAAATAGGACCTACGTTGTGGAAACTTACTCAATTTTTCTTACTGGACATGCGCCCGACAGCAAATATTTGGGAAATTTAAGGGAAGTTGTGATATGTAAAAGAAACGAAAAATTTGTGAAACATCTACTTTATTATTAAAGTAAATTTTACCGTTCTCATCCTGGAACTAACGAGGGGAAAGAGCACGGCAGAGAAACCCTCGATCTAACATTCCTCAAAAATCGAAACAAACTGTGTCATTTTTATGATAATTGTGAGTCATTAATTCAATAATTTATACCAATGAAAGTTAAAATTAGGTACCGCCCCTGTTCTTGTGCTAAAATTTCAATTACACATTCAATCAACACTACCGATACCTATTCAATACTGAAGAGGTTTTTTAGTTAGCCAGTTTCATAGCAGGTACTGAGGTCCCATACGGGAAGCTACTCAGCTATAGTTGTTTTTGAGCCGATATCGCTAGATTGATTATTTCAATTTGTTAGGATATTCTCTCGTCAGGGTAGGAAAATGTTAGTAAATTCAACAAGGCCCTAATGCACGCTCTAAATCCACAAAATCAAAATCTCATCACAAGAAGGAATTTCTTAGGTTTTAATTTATTTACAAACAAGAAAACATAAAAATGGAAAAAATGATACTTGTATAAATTGATGAACTCTCAAAAACAAAATAACAATTATTCAACTGACCTTTGATGGCTCCTTGACACACACACTAATCACAAATTGGATTGAACAATTAGTTTAATACAAAATAAAAATAAAATTGAATAATGAATACTTAATGGCGGACAAAACCTTAAGGGACCAACCCAGAGCTCCGCTTTTTCTCTAGTCTCCTCGTGTCTTTTCTTCTGTCTCCCGTTCGCAGTACCGTTCCTTGTGGCTCGAACGTGGCGCATACATGGTTGCAGCATTTACTTTTATTCAGTAAACGTTTTTTTTTTTTTTAAGTTAAGATTCAAAGAAACAATATTTTAGATAGGTGGTTTTCCTCAACCTCTACATGTACTATGCCAATGTTCTACCCTTAGATGGCAAAGACAAAAGACATCGGCACTTTGAAACACAGTACCCTAGACCAAAAGAAATCGCGAAAGCGAATATCGGGGACATCCTAGACTTTGATCCTAGGTTTTACTAAGGGAGTGAACCTGATATGAAAACTTCAGATTGGCACAATGAGTCACGAGCTCCAGTGCAGATGTCCGCACACCCCCAGGGGGCTGATTCTAGTCTCAGCGAGTAGGGTTTCCCGAGAGAACACATTTTTCATCTTTAGCATTCTCGTTTACTTTTCGATTACCTTGACAAGAACAAAACATTCGTTCTATTGAGG